GTGTGTGAGTGTGAAGTGTCTGACCAAATGTGGTAGCTTGAATGAGACTGGGCAGAGGGTGGCTTTTCTCAGAGCCCTTCTCTGGTGTTTTATGCCTAATTTTAAGTAACTTTGCTTTTGGCTGAGTTACTCTTTATCAGGTTCCAGCCCAGGAAAGAGAATTTTTTTAAAAGAAGAAATAGCTGGGTGGTTTGCAGGTGGTATTGCAGTGGTTAAAGGACAATGCAGACCTCCAACAGTGGTTTAACCTCTCTGGGTCTCAGTTTCCACAGCTGTAGGATGGGAGTAATATGAATGAAGTGAGGTTATATATATGAGGCATTTAGCACAGCACCTGGCAGGTCACAACAGGGCAATTACTTTTCACTGTTAGCTTTCGTTTCTAATGAGATGAGTTGCTCAGGAAAAAAAATTTGTGATCAAAATGAAGTATCTGGTAGTAATTTCACTGGGCTTTTTCAGGACAGACCCTCAAACATCCTTTGGAGGACTCGGGGCAGGTGCCACTCCTATGCTGGCATTAGGACTCCTCATATGGACAGAGGTCAAGGAGAGGCAGTCTTGGCCAGAGCCATTTGGGACAGTGACCAAGAACAGTTCCTGAATTCCACCTGGAAGAATCTTCTGGACCAGTTCCCTGCCTCCACGTTTCCTGCTAGCAGGACAGGAAGTTTCAGAGTTTAGTCATACTTCAGACAAATCCTGAGGTTCATTCATTCATTTACTCACTTGTTCTATAGGCATTTCTTAAGTACCTGTTGTGTGCCAGGCATTGTGACACCCGGCATATTGATAAACGGGATACACATGCAGTCTTTGCCTCTCTCAGCTTGATTATTAGAGGAGATGGATTTTAAACAAATAATTACACAAATAATCGTATTTTGTAATTGCGATAAGTGCCGGAGTCTTTCTTTAAGTAACTAAACTCGGTGCCTCCTTGTCTGAAATACACTTATGATACAATAATTCACCCTTGAGAAAAGGAAGCAGAGCCCAAGGTCCTGGGATAAAATATTCAAATAACATCCACAAATCTTGTGGTCATATATAAGGACTCTTAGTATAGCACAGTGAAAGTTACCCATTGTCATTTGCTTTTGGAGATCATATCAGACTCCGCTGATACTTTCTGGCAGAGCTTGTTTTTGATTCTCTCTAGGAAAATAAGTGCAGAAAGCCAGATAGACTTTTTGACGGTTGTAGAGGGCAAGGCCATGAACTGTGTCTCTACATCTGGGCAGCACAGGGTCTTCGGCTCCCTCCAGAGCAGCACTGGCACCTTGGCACTCAGATTGGTTATCAAATTAGAGTTTTAGACCTCTAAACATTTTTCATAGTGTTTGAAGAAGCTACAATTAACATCCCCTAAGCAGCTCAGCAGAACTTGGTTGCTAGGCAACAGACCTTTAATGACAATTTGTCAATTTCTACCAAAAGAGAAAAATAGTAAACATTCACATTCTTAGAAAATTGCTTGTTTTCCAGCTTTCAGCTTTCTTGCCATGGCACGGCCTCCAGTTCATCAGTGTCTATTTTATTCTTTATTTAGTTTTCATAAATAATTCAAAGGTGTTCCAGGAGAATAATTGAGCCTTTTTTCAAGCCTAACCTCTGGCAACTCAAAACAAAAAGATGTTTAGGTTACAGCTGGGTTGCCATATTTGTGGACGGGCTTTATATGAATGGACAGAGGCTGCTGTAGAAGGTGCAGAGTACCCAGCTGTAGCCTTAGGCAGCAACCCAGGAAGGTGGTGGCAGATCGTGGAAGGCTTTTGAGTCCTTCAGCCTCTCTTAGCACCTAGCACGTGCCAGGCCTCGTGTGCACTGCTGGGCTCCGACCTGCCGCGCAGCCAGATCTCACTGAGCTTACCTTCTCATGGGGAGATGTGGCAAGAAACCAGGAGATTCCCATACCAGGGCTGTGGGAGTTCAGAGGAAGCCCAGAACCCAGCCTGTGATCGGGAAAGGCTTCCCAGAGCAGATGTGGGCTGAACTGAGACCTTAAGGATGAAATAGGCCAGCCCAACTTTGGCAGGGGAGGAGAGTGTCTCAGCAGGGTCCTCTCCTGTGCTATGTGCCAAGGGAGAAAAGTGCTCTGGATACTACATTCACGTGGGCACAGGGCCTGGTAGACCCTGCAGCTCAGCCTGCAGGCAGTTGCAGCTTGCAAAAGCCTCCATCTGATTTGCATATTCCAGCCCTTGGGGAAGCCACCCGATTTGACTTTAGGTTAACTCAGGGGCATTGGCAGTGAGCCCTGTGTCCATAGGGGCAGGGGGCCTGTGAGACAGTGCTGGATGGCGCAGGAGTAGTCTTGGCCTGGGTTTCTTTGCCACTGCCTACATGTGGGACCTTATAATAGGCTATTTAACTAACCTGTGTCCCAGGTTTAGCGCCTGCCTCACAGAGTTGTAATAAATTAATTCAAGAACAGCCCTTACACTGGTATTGGGCACAGGGCACTCTGTAAGTGTAGGCTGACACCATTATGATGGTACTGTCCTTCGTGTGCTTCCATGGGTCCTCTGGTGTCCAGTCTGCCACCTGTTCCCTGAGTGACCCAGGACAAAACTTGGAGCTCTCTTGGGACCAGACTCCTCTCTTCCTGACTGAGTTGAGCCTAGTATTCCTTCCTGCTCTGAGTTCTCAGTGCCAAGGCTATTCCTAGGTCAAAGCCACCACTCCGCAGCTGGTCTGGCATGGCACTCTTGTCTCTCGGACTCCAGCTTGGGCAGCAGCTTGATCCTTAGGCTTCAAGCCCTGCAGACCAGAGACTGTGTTGCTCTGTTCATGTGCATGTGCTTGAGATTTCAGCTCTGGGTATATCCACGAGTTGTGTCACCCTGTTAATAATGGGGATGCAAAAAGCACCATTGAGAGAGAGCAGGAGGCCTCAGACTATTCAGATAATTCCCCAGAGAAGCCCATTCATTCATTCACTCAGTCACTGTTTACTGACTACCTACTATGTGCCCGGCACTGAGAATGTATCAGAGAACAGGACAGGTAGGTATGGCAGGGGAATGATGAGAAACCAGCGACACGAGTACACCAGTTAATTTTCAGAAGTGAAAGTGCCGGGAAGTAAGGCAGGATGATGGGCTAGAAAGTGGCTCTGTCGGGCAGTCAGTACTACCTGAATCAAGGTGATCAGAGAAAGAATCCTGGAGGAGGTGCTGCTTAAACTACAGCCTGTGGCATCAGAGCAGCAGAGTTTGGCTGTCATACCCCTTTGCTCGCCTGGGTCGAAAGAACTACAAGGCAGTGATGAGTCCACTGTGCGTTCTGTTCATCCACCAGGTCCTGTACTGGGGCCCAGAGGGAAGTAAGGCCCAGGCTGCTGCTGGGAAAGGCCCTGAAAAAAGTACCGAGAGTGCCCAAGTTTGTGTTCTGGTATCAGCCAACTTACTGCTTGCTAATAAGATATGCAAATTATCAGGGCTATAAAATCTTAGCCACATTCCATCTTCTGTTTAATTAGCATTTAATCATAATCTCATATAATTTTTTTCACACTGGCGTCCTAATTAAATGTTAGGGCGTTAGTCTTTTTTACGGAATGCTCTACGAATTTGCGTGTCATCCTTGCGCAGGGGCCAAGCTAATCTTCTCTGTATCGTTCCAGTTTTACTATATGTGCTGCCGAAGCGAGCACTAGGATGTTGGTCTTAACAGTTAAATTATATCGGAAAAATGGAGTCTTCAGGAAACTCGACCTTTTTCAAGCCAGGGCTCTCTCTAGCTAGACGCAGGCGTTAATTAGGTTTCTGCAAGATGCTGCCTCGAACCCCCTTGGTGCCCCCATTTCAGTTGTTCCCTTGCTGTCATGGCCCTAGATTTGAATGAGACACACACAACCAGTGATTTAGGCCCTGATCAGGCAGAGGTTACTGTGAATGGGTTTGTCACGAGCCTCTGGAAGGCCAGCAGATGCTGACTTGTCCTGGAGGGGGTCCAGGACTTGGAGTTTGGTGTGAGGCCTGGGGGACTCCTCGAAGTAGTTTTTCTTGTCTCGGTGATGCAAACTCTCCTTTAACTTGTGACTCTCATGTAATGATCACTGGGAAGCTGGTACCTATGCAAGTCACATAGTCGAACTGCCCCCAAGTCCTGCAGCAGCCTTTCCTGGGAGGTCACAGTGAGGTCAGGCAACCAGGGCAGGAGGGGCACTGCCGGTGCTGCTGGGGCTGGGCTTAGAGATTGTTTTGCAGTAGAGAGGGAGCAACAGACAATGTTGAGAAAAGCATTTTCCCCTGAGTGACCAGAAGAAAAACCAGAGTGCGTGGGTGTAGCCACTTATGGCCTGGCTCTGAGGGAATTCAGATGGACTTGACTGAGAAGGGTTCAGCCTCATCTTTCTCCTGCCCTATCGCACACACAGGCCGCGACTGTAGAGCTTCTGCTGAGCAGGGCACGTGGTATCCTTGTTCTTGAGGGACCGAGGAGATCTTGACCAATGGAAGGTCTTTCTCTAGGCTGCCACAAACCCCAGCCTCCACTCAGCTATTTGCATATGGTCCTGGCATTTCATTTGCCTGGGATTGGCGCCCTGCACTCTTTAACACCTCCACTTGTGCCTATGGTGCAACTGCAAACATAATTTTAAACCTTCATCTGAAATTCCCTGAACACTTACTTAATGACAGTGTAATGTTCACAGAGGCCTTTCTTCCATCTGATTTTTCCGCTTGTTTTGTTTTGATTTGTTTTGTTTTTTTGCCTTTCCCAGTGTTTCTTCTTCTGTCTGAGGTCCATTCACATTCATCACTCAATTCTTGTCCTTTAACAGTTCAGAACACATTCAACACATTTATTGAGCATCTTGCTGGCTTCAGAGAAGATGCATTATTGTACTTAGTGCATTTGTGTTGCCTTCTGACTTAGAGTCAGTGGGCAGAAAGCCACGTGAGTTGCATTTGCCTTTTCCTCCTCTGGCCTGTGGAGCAGACCACCCAGAAGCAGTCTGAAACCACTCTCTCCACCCTTGTTCCCACCAGGTTTTCCGGACAGACTTGATCACAGCCATGAAGATCCCAGACTCGTACCAGCTCAGCCCGGATGATTATTACATCCTGGCGGACCCGTGGCGACAGGAATGGGAGAAAGGCGTGCAAGTGCCCGCTGGGGCAGAGGCCATTCCAGAGCCCGTGGTGAGGTGAGCCAGGCAGCCCAGGCCCACAGGCCACAGGCAGGGGAGGAAGGGGAGACAAGGACCCAGCAAGGCACCTGCCATTCCTGGGATTCCTCTCTAGCTCAACTCTGTTCTTAGATTCTTTTGGACCATAAACCATTGAAACGTTCCAGAAATACTGGTAGTTTACCTTTAAAGCTAAGGGCCTGGGCTCAGCTCTGGAACCAGACAACCTGAGTTCAAATGGCCACTCACATTCAATGTGACATTGAGTCAGAAATATAATCTCCCTGGGCCTCGATTTCCTTGTCTGCGAAACAGGCATGATGACAATAACACCTGCCTCTTACGGTGGTCGAGATGATGTAGAGAAATGATGCAGGAAAGGCACTTGGCACAGGGCCTGGCACACAAGGACTTGGTAAAAACTGCCCGTGGATTAGCTTGATGTCAGTCCAAACTGGGTTCCACAACACAGCTCATCAGGGATATCTCCAGGCTTTTAACTAGTCCTTAAGACAGGGATAAGCCATGCTTCTTAAACCTTTTTAAGGAGGCCTGAGCGGGAGAGAGTTGTGTGCACCCAGTGGATGCTCAGGAAGCAGTTGCTATGACCAGCATCTGAGGAGTCCCCTTGCTAGAGCTGGGTCAGGGCTGAGTCCTCGCTGGGCTTCATAGCCTTCTGGGCTTGTGGGTCAGAGACCCCCTGGTGCTCTTGTCAGGCGGTGGCCCCATGGCCATGGGCCTTGCCGCCAGCAGCAGAGTTCAGCCAAGTGCTGCTTTCTGCACCCTGGGAAATCCTCCAAGTCAGTCTTGGGGCAGAGAGGCCTGCTGTTCTGGCCTCCTCCGCCCACCAGCCCTCCAGAGCTGGGCAGCTCATGTTATTGGCAACCCACTCCTGGCTTTGGCAGCCCCATGGCTCTCATTTAGGCCCTTTTGACCAGGCCTGGGGCAAAGGTCGCAGCCGTCACCTCCCATGACATTGACGCTGTTGCTTCCTGGCAGCCACACCCATGACTGGCTCACAGATACCCAATACCTGTTTGCTGCCAGACCTGTGCTGGGCATGGGATTACAGAAGCGAAGCAGACTGATCCCTGCTCGGGTGCTCGGTGAGGATTGGGTGCTGGGCAGAGCTCATCCTCCTGTGGCTCCTGAGGGCCGAGTTCCTACCAGCACTTGACTGGGGCCTTTGGAGAACCAGGAAGCTCCAGGCCTCTCCAGAAAGGAGTACATGTGAGATTTGGAGAAAGAATTCATTCTCCACATCCCCTGCCCAGGGCTAGGAACATGGGTCAGGCTTCTAGCCAGTTTTGCGCCCTTACCTCTGCAGACTGAAGAACTGTTACTGCGCTCTTTGAGCCTGTTCCTTCCCCTGTCAAACGGGGCTGAGAACAGTACCTGCCTGGTGTGGTGGAATGAGAAAACACAGCCCAAAGGGCTAGGGTGATGCGGGGAGGGGCGGGCCACCAGCTGGGCAGAGAGGGGTGAGTCTTGATTAAGCTTGGCCTAGCGGTCTGTCCTTTCTCCTTGATGTCAATGTCAGGGGGTTCCAGAAACATCCGCTGGCCTCGGTAATTAATTGCAGATGCTTCCACACCAGTAGCTTGGCTTCGGTCTGCCTGCCCGGTGCTTTATCTGTTGACATCAAGAGCAGCAGAGCACGTGTTCACATGGCTCTGGCTCTAGTAGGTGTGTTCTCCACATATACACAGCTGCTTTAAGTTGACAGGAACCAGGCACTCCTGGCCTGTCCATGCTCTCTCAGGATAGACCGGAGGGGGAGGGGGAGAGGTGTTCTCTTGGTGAGATCTCCATGCCCCGTCTTCCCCTGTCTCCCTCCCACGCGGTGTCTCCAACTTCCTGAGTGCCTCCTACTGCACGGCCCCCATCTGGAAGCCAGCATGGCAGCCTCTGCAGTCAGTGTTGTTACAGGAACTCTCTTCCTGACAACTTGCTGTGCTGACCCTGTTAGGTTCATCTTCTTTAATTATCATTTTAGCCCCAGAAAGTATATATTACTGTCCCCATTTTATAGATGAGGAAGTTGGGAAATTCTGGGGAATTCCCTGCATGACCGTCGGGGCCTAGCAGGCCAGAGCAGGAAATCACAGGCCACAGGAACAAGCCCTGGATTGCCCCAGTGAGGCCCAGAGAGAGTCTTGTGCCATGATCACTCTACATGCTGGATCTGACATCCCACCCCCAGCTGCTACCCCGACCCACTCTGTCCTTCCCTCCCCGCCTAGTCCTCTTTGGCCCTTGGGTAGGTCTGCCCACCTCATGGTCTGAAATTTATCTGGATAATGCGAATCTGTCTTTCCCCCAGATCAAGAATTGAGTGAGGGCCTATACTGTTCTCTCAGTGTGGCCAAGAGACTCAGCCCAGGGCCAAACCAACCTCTGGTGTCTGTCTGGTCTTCTAGAGTAGAGACTCTTTCCTCTCCCAGACTCCAGCCCAGCTATCTGACACCTCCTCTCAGCTGACCTCAGTTCTGCTGGCTACCACTGAGACCAAGGCCCTGGCCTATGGTCACGTTGGTCCATGCCTGGCGAGAGTGCTTCCTTCATAGCCAGAGCCAGAAGAGGCCACGCAGATGAAGTTGAGAGGCCCAGGAAGCACAGGAAATGCCTTTTCTTTGTGACCCCCTTATCCCCAGCTTCCTAGAGAAAGAAACGTGATTTTAGCCCCAAGAGCTCTGGCAAGATGGCAGCTGACTGAGCACACAGGTAGTTATACCAATAGGTGGTGAGCATTCAGACAAAGATTATCCAAAACCCTGACTAAGCACATGCTGGGGACACAAACAAAGCAAAGTCACAACAGCAAAATCAGTCTGTGTTTTTAAAGGAATGTATTGATTCAAGTAAGAACCTCATGAAGAAAAGCAGAATTTCTTAGGACGAGGAGTATTTGTCTTCTATTTCGAATGACCTGTTAGTCATGCACTGTCATCTCCTAAGGCCTTTCCTAATCTGGGCCTCTGCGTGGGGAAAGGGGGCACCAAGCCCTTTGCCTTTCTCCTTGCCCCTCTCAACCTCCTCTGGTCCTCCCTCCTGGCCAGTCTGCCTCCTGTCTCTATCCTTCCTGCCCCTCTTGCTCACATCCGGGGCATTTCCTGGAGCCCAGGAGCCCTCCCCATAGCTCGGCCCTGTGTCTGTGCCATCCAGGGCCCTGCCCTCCGCTCTCCAGTCGGGCGCTGAGTCACAGCCCCTGGCAGCCCTGCCTCCGACCCCAGGAGGCCTCTCGGGCAAGTGAGGGGCCTCTCAGCCCCAGCAGGACTGGCCAGATGGAGGCCATGCTCTGCAGCAATAACCATGGCAACCGGTGGGGGTGGGGGGAGCTGGCATATTAACTGGCATCAGGAACTGAGGGGCAGCACACAGCTGAACCAAGAGAGGAAACTGCCCTCGCAGGGCAAGAGCCCTCATATTCCATTTCAGAAGGAGCAAAGTGACTTCTTAAAATATACACTCACATGCATATATTGCTCACTGTGTGCCAGGCACTGTTCTAAGAGCATTACAGGTATTTATCCATTTCATTCTCACTCCAATCATAGAAGGGAAATACTATTCTTATTAGCCCATTTTTTGAGATGAGGTCACTGGGGCACAGAGAAGTTAAGTGGCTTGCCCAGAGTCACACAGTAAGTGGCAGAGCGGGGCTTTGCTCCAAGCTGCCTCAAAGGCAGAGCCGTAGCCTGAGGGAGGGCCAACCTGGACTGTGATCCTCGGACTGTTGTAGGTGCATCTTTAGTATCCAGGGGAGGAGGCTTCCATCTTGGGGCGGGGAGCATTGTAGGCAGAGACTCATGGCTCAGGTAACAGTCTTTCTGGGGGAAGGGCAAGGTGTGTGAGCAACACTGTGTCCTCTATAGCATTAAACCTTTTATGTGGAAAGGGCCACTCTGGGCTGCAGTGGTGAAACCAGCCATGACACTTCCACACCCCAGAGGAGACCTGGATTCAGTTCCCCTCAGGCTGTAGGTGAAAGAGGGCCTAGGGCTTTCGAAGGTATGGGGACAACCCCTGGCCTCTCCCCAGCCTTGAGAGTTATGCTGAAGGACCTGGAGCCACCTGGCTCTGTCCCACTTGTCCCAGAGTGGCTGGCACTGGGCACTGCGCAGGACAGCACTTGGGATGCTTCCCACAGTTCTGGGCAGGGCATATCCAGATCGTGGGGCTTCTGCTAAGACCCAGGTACCCTGGTGGGAGGGGCAGTAAGGGGTGTGCTCTGGGCAGGATGGAGTTTGTGGATTGCGCAAGGGTTGTGGATCCGCGCAAGGGTTGTGGATCAGCCCCAGCTCTGCCCCACAACCCGTTGGTCTCCTGTCCTGCTTAGTCACAGTCATCTGAGACTGCAGGGTGGGCAGGTGGGAGGAGGAAGTATAAGAAGGGAGAGGAAGGAGGTGGGCCCTGCTTGGCACTAAAGTCTCACCTCACTTGCCCACCAGCTTCTCACCTGGGCTGGCCAACTCACTGTAGGCCCCCAGACCCAGCGAGGTTAGCAGACTGAGGGTCCCTCCCCTCATGACTCCCCCTCTTGATTTCCTAGGATCCTCCCGCCGCTGGAAGGCCCCCCCTCCCAAGTGTCCCCTAGCAGCTCTGAACTTGGCGAGGGCTCCCAGCCTGATTGGCCAGGGGGCAGCCGCTATGACCTGGACGAGATTGACGCCTATTGGCTGGAGCTCATCAACTCGGAGCTCAAGGAGATGGGTAGGTGACCTGCCAGGCCGAGAATGGGATTGGGGCAAGCCAGGCAGGTTTTTCTCCTTAACCCCAGCATCCTCACCCTCAGAAGGGCAGAGGCCACAACTGGGCTTTGGCACTGAATGGATCTGGGGAGATGGTCCCTGCAGCACCACTGATTGGAGAAGTTATTTGGTATCTCTGTGCCTCAGTTTTCGTAGATGTCAGGTGAAGGGTGATAATAGCATGTAATCGACAGAGTTCTTGGGAATATTGTTAATAAGCCTGACCGTTACATAAAGAGTGAGGGAGCACACAAGTGATTCTAGGATGACAAGTGGGGTCGAGTCAAGTCAACCTCCTGGCTGAAACCCACTAACATGGTGAGGAAGGACCAGCTCTGTCATATGCAGCCACCTGTGGAGATCCCGCCATACACATAGCACAAGCAGTGGATTCCCCATGGAGTCAGCCACATCCCAGAGATACTTCTGTGTTATCTGCATGTTCACGTGTGTGTGTGTGTGGTCACAGGCAGGCTGTCTGAAGTCAGAACACCACGACAGGCCCCCAGAGCCTTTGAGATTGGAAGGTCCAGCCCATTCGATTTGCAGACAATGGAGCTGAAGCCCATGACAGTACACACATTTGTCCAGGTCATAGTAGGGGAGTGCAGATCCTTCTGTACATCTGTCCTGAAAAGTGGGCTCCTCACACCCTCCCCTGCTGTCCTCACAGAGAGACCAGAGCTGGACGAGCTGACCCTAGAGCGTGTGCTGGAGGAGCTGGAGACACTGTGCCACCAGAATATGGTCCGAGCCATTGAGACCCAGGAGGGGCTGGGCATCGAGTATGACGAGGACGTTGTGTGTGACGTATGCCGCTCTCCCGAGGGCGAAGATGGAAACGAGATGGTCTTCTGTGACAAATGCAATGTCTGCGTGCACCAGGTGGGCAGGCCCCTACGAAGGAGGTCAAGAGGGGAGGAAGGGGCTTGGCATGAGTACCCCGAGGTGCCAGGGACACCCAGGGCCCCTTGGCCCAGCTCCGTCAGGCAGACTTGAGTAATTACCCATTGGATGGTGTTTCTTCCCTCTCCCGTCAGCCTCCCTCAGACATTTTCCTCTGAACACGCTGCCCTTGCCCTCCCTCTCTATTCCTCACTGTTCTGAACTTACAGAGAGGCAGCACAGTGTAGTGACTGAGAGCAAAGCCTAGAGCCAAGATGCCTGGTTTCACATTGTGGCTCTGCCTTGTACAAGCTCTGTGGCTTTGGGCAAGTTTCTTAACCTCTCTGGACCTCTACTTCAACTATAAATAAAAGTAAGTTGTGAGGAGTAAATTACTTACTGTGAGTTATTTTCACAGAACAATATCATAAGGGCTATAAGTATTTGTTACCATTATTGATAATTATAAAATGTCCTTCCTGACCAGGCCCCCATCTTGATCTTGGGTCCAGGACCCTAGGTCTTAGGCATCTCTGGGCCTTATTGCAGAAGAAGACCTGACTGGAACACAGTGGACCTACTTTGTCCCTGACTTGGATGCCCCGCACCTACCCACTACTGCTCGAGTAGCTCCCGGGGAGCTCAGAGGGGCTTCACCTAGCTGGCGAGTGGGTAGGCAGTACTCCGCCCTTCATCCACGCCCCTTAGACACAGCCGCTCTTAGGTCCATCAGTCCTAGGCTTGACCAGGAGGATCTCCCTTGGCAGAGATCCCTGTGGAAGAAACGGGTGGAAGCTCTGCTCTTTGTCCTCAAGCAATATATATACCAAAATTTGTACTCAACTTCCAGCAGTTCATGGACACTTCTGAGGTCCATCATCACTGGTTAGAAACCTCTGCCTAAAATGACTGTCCTCCCAGCAGAGGGCAGACCTGAGCCCTTTCACAGGACTGTGAAATTGTGACCTTTCAGGTACACAAAGCAAGTAAAGAAGAGCCCTTGCTTTATGACTTTCGGGGGAAGTCTCCTTGCCAGAGCGGTGTAGCTTCGTCACTCCTACCTGGGGCTAGGGCTGGAACCATTCACAGCTGACCGCTGACCAGATGCGGATTGGACAATGCCTCTGATTCGTGACCGCCTGCTCTCTCCCCAGGCATGCTATGGGATCCTCAAGGTGCCCACAGGCAGCTGGCTGTGCCGGACGTGTGCCCTGGGTGTCCAGCCAAAGTGCCTGCTCTGCCCCAAGCGAGGAGGAGCCTTGAAGCCCACCAGAAGTGGGACTAAGTGGGTGCACGTCAGCTGCGCTCTGTGGATTCCTGAGGTGGGCAGACATGGGGGTGGGCAGCCCTGGGGAACAGCTATGGGGAACAGCCTTGGGGAAGTCGGTTTGCGTGGTACTCAGAACTCAGGTAACAAGAGATGATGGGCCACATAAAATGGGGATGTCTCAGATATTGAACTGAGGTAGCAGCCCACAGGGAACTTTGCCAGTGGACTTGGGCAGAACTTCGGTGGTGGTTTTCATGGGAAAATGAGATTATGGGCTCCTGGAGGATCCAGTGGTAGGTCAAAGCTGACTCCAGGGAAAGCAGGTTGAGGGTCCCCTAGCTAGGCAGTGGTTCCAACCAAAGTCAAGCTGCCTGTTTAAAACAAAATAAGCCAACTGACCTAAAAAAAAATCGGGCAGTGAGCCTAATTAAAAGTTGGATAGTCTACAGCCATGCCACCCTGAGCAAATGCAATCCCATCTGATCTCGGAAGCTAAGCAGGGTCAGGTCCGGTTAGTACTTAGATGGGAGACCACCTAGGAAGACTAGGTGCTGTAGGCGTAAAAAAAATAAAAAAAATAAGGGATTGTAAGCTGACAAGGTTCTTGCAATCTGTGAGGTCAACCAAAGGTTGCCTCGCCTAAAAAAAGAAAAAGTTGGATAGTGGGCTTGCTGTTGTGGCTGTGGCTAGATAGAGGGGTGGCTTGGGTCTGGGTGAGTAGGGACTATGGGTGACAGGCTGGGTCCACTGTGAGTTATCTGAGGCTCTGGGCTCCCAGAAGGCATCCCATTTTATTTGAAATAGGAAATGCTGAAATTTACTGGAGTTCCAGCTGTGGTCCTTCTGTGCGCTGTGACCCAGAATGAGGCCCGGCTCCAAAGCTGACTGTGCCTGGAAGCAAGCCAGGTAGCCCTGTCAGAAGGCCTCACCTTCCTGGGCTCCCAGTCTGAAGGTCTTTGCTGAGACTCACACTACAGGCTTCTGTGATGATGGCAGTTGTGTCAGCAGTAGTCACTTGCTCCCAGATCAGCATCTTGAAGGCCGGGACTCTCTCTGAGTATATCGTGGGCTGGGCACAGCAGAGCCAGAGAGAACCAACAAGGACCCCACTGTGGGGGCCTCTTGATTCAAGATCTCTGGACAGGGGCCCTTCTTCTATCCTTAGGCATGAGCAGTGGGAGGACAGGTTATGCCCAGGAGATTTGGGCATGGTTGTAGGTCTGTCCGCATAGGAGGGGCTAAACAAAAGCACATTCCCATTGGGCAAGAAAGCCCTGAGGCCTCGAAGAAGAAAATGCTGCCTTGGGGGCTCTACTTGCTGCCCCCCAAACTAAATACAAGTTATGATAAGAACTCCGAATATGCTATTACAAATGCTGGAGGTACAGAAGAGAGGGGGACCTTGCATGTATTCATTCATTACGTGTGTATGCACGCACGCACGCGCGCACACACACACACGCACGCACACACACACAAGCATCTCTGTCTCGAGTGCCACATAGTCATAGGCACACACCCTTAGTCAACTACACACACTGATGTGCACTCTGCCACAGTCACAAGTAATGTAAGATTTATCACAGGTGAGCATACACTAACATGCTCAACCCAGCAGTCAGCTTGGGACAGTCAGGAAGGACTTGGAATTTAGGGGATCTCCCTCTGCCCTGTCTGCCTCCTGCCTGGTTTCAGCAGAGAGCCCCCATTTGGGCTCCTTGGGGCAGACTGAGGATGAGAAGCCTGACGCTGCTCCCCGTGTCCCGCCCAGGTCAGCATCGGCTGCCCCGAAAAGATGGAGCCCATCACCAAGATCTCGCACATCCCAGCCAGCCGCTGGGCTCTGTCCTGCAGCCTTTGCAAGGAGTGCACGGGTACCTGCATCCAGGTACGTGGCCATTTCACCCCGCTGCTGCTCCACAGCCTGTGCGAGAACCAGCTGCCACCACCTTTCACCTGCCCCCATGGTGCTATACACACAGCCACTGCTGAGCCAAGGAGGTCTGCGACTAGGACCAGAGTCAGAATCCCACTGGGAGGCATTCCCCCATCCCAGTCCCTCTAGGCACAGGGCGCAGGCCTGAGAGCCAAGGCTCACCACCGCATTCCAGGGCTGAGGACTCTCACTTCCCCCAAGAGCAAGTGCCTTTGGCATTAATAGATATATTGACCTCACTTCTGACCAAACTTGACCTGCGGGAGGGCCAGGAATCAGACTTCCTCCAGCTAAGCTACTAGGCTCTCCTGATAAAGGGCAGGGCTTCACCGGTCTGTCTGCAGCAGCGGTTCTCAGATTCTAGTGTGATCAGTATTACCCGGAGGACTTGTTTAAACACAGATGGCTGGGCCTACCCACAGAGGTCCTGATTCAGTAGATCTTTAGTGGGGATGAGAATTTGCCTTTCTAGCAAGTTCCCAAGTGATACTGATGCTGCTGGTGTATAGGTTGGGAGATGAGGGCATCCTCTCCCTCATCTCTCCAAGGAACAGTTGTCATTGCAAACACTAGATGTGCCTCCACCCATTTGTGAGACTTTCAGAATGGCTTGTGAGTGCAGCAGAAAGGGACACTTTTAATAGTTGGACGGGTTGTTGCTGAAACAGTTAATAGCTGCAAGCAGCCTCCATCCAAGACTGGGCGGGAGGGGCAAGCCCTGGTTGGCCCTGGCTGCCTGGGCAAGAAGGGAAGGAAGGGGTCCAAGTCCAGCCCTTCTTCCTAGAGGGCAAAGGAGGAGGCAGTGACCCATCGTCAGCCTCTTTTCTTTTGTTGCCTCTGATTCCAAAGTCATTTTACCCACGCAGACGTGCAGCTTGCCCCAGAGGGGTTGTCCAGTCATCTGATTGTTGATCCCCGCCATATAAAGTGCTAAACTCCGCTTCCTTTCCATTTCCCCCTTCCCATCTGCCATAGCGTCCTCCCTCCCACCCTACGGGTTGTTGGGAGCCCTTGCCATTTTGTTTAGGGTCTCACCAGCTTTCTGCATTCTGTATTCCCTGGGGGATGCCCCACGTCCTTCCCTCCTACCAGGGCCTGACGTTGCCCTTCCTGTCCCTCCAGTGCTCCATGCCTTCTTGCGTCACAGCATTCCACGTTACCTGCGCCTTTGACCATAGCCTGGAAATGCGGACTATATTAGCAGACAACGATGAGGTCAAGTTCAAGTCATTCTGCCAGGAGCACAGTGATGGCGGCCCGAGGGGTGAGCCCACGTCTGAGCCCGTGGAGCCCAGCCCAGCCGCCGAGGACCTGGAGAAGGTGACCCTGCGCAAGCAGCGGCTGCAGCAGCTGGAGGAAGACTTCTACGAGCTGGTGGAGCCAGCTGAGGTGGCCGAGCGCCTGGACCTGGCCGAGGCTCTGGTTGACTTCATCTACCAGTACTGGAAGCTGAAGAGGAAAGCCAATGCCAACCAGCCGCTGCTGACCCCCAAGACCGACGAGGTGGACAACCTGGCACAGCAGGAGCAGGACGTCCTCTACCGCCGCCTGAAACTCTTCACCCACCTGCGGCAGGACTTGGAGAGGGTGAGTGCCCCTGCTGCCCGCCCACCCACCTGCCTGGCGGGCCATCCCGGGAGGCCTTCCGTCTTCACTCTCACCACCCTGGAGCAGCCATGGCTTCCTCCATGGCTGTGAGCTCACGCTCAGGGGCCGAGGGCCTCCAGCTCTCAGACAGGGTTGGGGTAGCTGATACTTTGCAGAACAAGATCCAGCTCTTGGGTTTGAGTCCCTTTGTCCCAGCCCTTTTGAAGGCCTGGCGAAGGGTGGGGGCCCTGCCAGGGTCATGAGCTGGGAGACACCAGACCTGGAGCAAGGACCTAGGCTTCTATCTCCTCATACCCTCCGGCCCCTTTTATGGCCTCTGTGGACCCTGCCTGGTCCCAACACACGAGCTTCTGCTTAGAGTCAGAGGCAGAGGAGGGACTAGGAATCGCAAGCAGATTGAGTCAGCTTAACAGGTATGTGCTGGGCCAGGGCAGGGAAGGGTGTGAACAGAGGCGTGAATGAGGGTGGGCTGGAGACCAGCAGCCGCCTGCGTGGAGTGTAAGGATGGGGCTAGGTGGGTGGACACAGTGGTCTGGAAGCCGCAGAAGCGTTTTAAGCAGGGACTGTTCTCCTGTGACTGCAAATTCTAAACACTCAACCTGGAGGAGGCATAGATGGGTTGTCTAAAGCCCCCCAGCTGTGTGCTGGGGAACAAGCGATCTTGGTTTGGTCCAGGGTGGTGGCTTCGGGGGCCGAGCTGAGTGAAATGAGAAAATGGTTCAGACTCCATGGTTTGGGGCTGGGTTGTGGAGATTGGGAGGCAGTGAGAGTTGCTTTCCTAGAGCATAATGGCCTCCAAAGCCTCCAATCCCTCATACTCCTCCAAGAAAGGTGAGAGGGTCCTGCCTTCTGTGGGGTGTGCCCCTGAACTTGGCTTTTCTGCCACTACTCCCCTGTTACCATCAGCTGATAAAGTACCACGCACAAGCTAGGGGCAACCTGAGGAGGAAGCAGTATGTTCTGGTTCCTTGGTTCTGGTTCCTTGGTCCAGTCTCTTGAACCTCAGGTGCTGCTCTGGCCTCTCTGTGGCATGTTCAGTTCTAGGGGTCCAGAGCACACGGGATCACTTCCTCCATGAGTGCAGACACATTTCCCCAGGCCGTTTTAGGAAGCAGCCCTGGGTGGAAGCATCAAGGGGGCTTTGTATGACCTGAGGCAGCAGCTTTTCTTAACATGCATCTCAGTCGGCAAATCTGTAAAATAGGCAGAGCACCTCGGCAGGTGTTGTGCTGGGGGGAAGGCATGAGGTGGAGGCTCTAAGACTAGATCTGGCTTCCCTACCTCCCTCACCCCACTCACCTGCCCTGCCACCTCAGCAAGGAGAAATGACCCTATTCACCTGGGAGGCAGCTTACTGCCTGGCAGCCAGCCTGCCACCAAGTCAGAAGGGAGGGCTAGGGGCGGGAGGATGGCACTAAACATCCTGGCTCCAGCCAGGGCAGAGGACAAGGCCACCTACATCACAGATACCACTTCCTGGGCAGCCCAGTCTTCTGCCTCATGTGGCAGGATCATCAGGTACAGACCCTTCTGAGACCAAAGCCACTGCCAGAGTTGTCCTCAGGCCAGCCCTGAGTCTCCACCCTCGGGTCTGCACGACTCCCGGGTCTCCAGTGCAAACACCTGCTTTTATTCCTGATGTTTCCATCAGATCTGACCCTGGCTGGGCTGTGTGGGGAGACTAGGGTGTGGGCTCACTGTTTTAATCATCATCCTGGACAAATAGGCAAAAAGTAGACACACTCGGCCCAATGAGCAGATGAGGAAACTGAGGCTTAGAGAGAAGTGACATTGAAAGCCTCAGAGGACTGTGTGTGTTCTAGGGTTCGAGTTGAATTTGGACCTGAGCGGTGGAAGGGGTTTGTCAGAAAGAGGATTGTTGGCTTATTCTCTGTTCTGTACATTTCCTGGGTAAAAGCATCCTCTTATCAGTCCCCAGACCTCTCTACTGCCTTGATAGCTGGTACAGGTGCGCCCAGGGGTCAAGGCTGTCAAGGACTGGCATGCCGGCCAACCGGCTGAGGCCAGCTCTGGGGTTCTAGGCAACCAGAGCTGCCGCAGACCCCTCTAGCTGAGGGATCTCATGACCCTTCCAAAGTCATGTGTGAGCTGGCCTACTCTTTTGCCAGGAAGAGGAGGCAGGGTTAACTTTAAGTCTGTGCAGCTTCTTTGAGCCCAGGAAGGCCCTGTCAATAAAATGCTGCTTCTCCAACAGCCACTGAGCTGGGCTGTTGGCACCAGCTGGGAGGATGGTGAGGGAGTACACAGCCCTGGCAGACTGAGGAGCGGAAAGAGTCAACAACCTGTGTTGCCAGGTGGACCCACTCCAGGTCTGGCTTTGGGGCCTTTCACAGCCATGTGTGGGTGACTTGAGTGAGTGAACAAAGCCATGAGCTATGCCACAGGAGAGGCTTTCTGCCAAGATCTATGACTATTGGTGGCCCTGACCATGGCCCAGAGCTGATGGCTGAGAGTATCCCTCTGACTGGGCACCAGGCCAACTTGGGCTGACCCCATCTGGGATGCAGGGCAAGAGATCAAGGCCTTGGGTAGCCTGGGTTTGCATCCAGTTCCAGCACTTCTCAGCTCTGTGCCTTTTGAGTTTCAGTTTTCACTTCTCTGAGTTTCAGTTTCTCTGTCAGTAGAATGGGAATACGGATGGAACTGACCTTGAGACCACAGTGATGATAAGGGACAGAGCTTAGCACAGTGCCCTCCGTGTTAGTGGTGATTATTGTTGCTTCTCTGGCTCATGAAAGGGTGGCCTGCTTGGAGGGTGGGATCCATGGAGGACCGACAGGCAGGCCCAGTGCCAGGGCCTGGGGATCACAGGGCATCCTCCCTGGCTAATTTATCCCCAAGACCAGGTGGTGGGTTTGCTGAGAGAAGCAGGAGCCGGGGCCATGCTGCCACCACAGCATAAAATCCCATTTTCTGGTCAGCCTGGAAGGTGTGTGCCTTTCTAACATTTCAGCTGTAGGCCTGCCCTGCCAGGCAGCTCTGGAAAGCATGGCCACTGCAGCCTCCCAGAGTTATTCACAGCTGACAAAAAAATTGCAGCACTGACATCAGCCCCACAAGCTCAGCTGGTGTCCCCTAGCAACCAGGAAGGCAGTTCAGGCTGCATAAGGCTTTGCTGCTTGTGGCCCTGGATCTGGTTACCAGTTTATTCGAGAACCTGACTTGGCTGGAACGGGGCCGACAGGACAGGGGCCCCTCTCAGACCACCCCCACTGCAGAGGTCAGTCACGTAGGAACTCCCCCAGGCCTCATTTTCGGTAGCTCTCCCAAGAGAGGAAGGTCCTGCCACCCTCCCCCCGCCCATCCCACTTGTACCTGCTTCCTTGTCGGTTGGTCACACCTCACTGACTGTCCTCAGTGCCTGGACTGTGGTCTGCTTAGCCTCCCACCAAAGCCTACCTTGTCCTGGGCAGCCTTGGCTTCCAACATTCTCACTGGCCTCTCAACCCCCATATCTCTCATCTCTGGGACTTTTCTAAGCCAGTAGTACCCCACCCCACTCAAGCCCTGTCACCACTTCAATTACTCCCTGTCCCCAGATCCCCACATCCTCTTCCTTAACCACAGCCTCCTATTCTCCCTGCTCAGTTGCCTTCCAGGCCCCCCACCCTTCACTGTCCCCAGTTTTCCTGACTACCACCCCGTCTGGCATTAGCTCACCGCCTCAGCCAGTAGGGAGCCACTCTTTGCCCACCAGGAGCGATTCTACAGCAGTGAGCAGGCGGGTCCCCCAAGATGCCTGCCCCCCAGTCTTGGCGGGACCTATGCCAGCAGGATTCTGAGCTCCCCAACGTACCACCTGTCTCCACTCCTGCTCCGTCTTCCTCAGGGCTCCCTTTCCTCTCCGCACACAGCCTCACCTCCTGTTCCTCAGACCAGAGCCCTCCAACTTCCTGCCAGGGGAGTCCTGTGTGTCTGTTCTCTGCTTTTCCTCCTGTCTTCCCCTCCCCTCCTCCTCAGGGATCCCTTTCCAGCCCACACCCGCAGCACATGAGCTTCTCTCCTGTTCCTCCTCTGTCTTCAGGATGTCACAGCACCTGAACCTACTTCACCTTCTCCCATCTCCAAAAGCAAATCCTCTCCCCATCTCCATCGCCCCCTTCTCTTCTTTCCTGTCATCCCTCACTGCTCTTACTTCCTCGCTTCCCTCCCTGGGCGAGCTTCTGCCACAACTCTCTTCCAGAACCTTCCACCAGGACCGACAGCCTCCAACTTCCTGTGTCCAGTGGTTACATCTCTGTCCTTATCCCCTTGGCCTTCTCAGCAGTAGTTGCCACTGTCACGTGCCCTTGGTCTTTAAAAACTCTGGTGCTCATACCAGATCCCCTCTTGGGTTCTCCTTGTGATCATTCACCACACCGGGCCTGACCTCTCAATACCACATCCACCCACTGCTTCGCTCCCTATCAGGAAGCTGGCTCTAGCCCACACCTTCCCCTGAGCTCCAGCATCTCATGCCCAGCACACCCACAGGTCCAAGCCTGCTCCTCCCACAACCTCCCCATCTCCACGAATGCCCCCCAACCCTGGTCCATTCTAGCTCAAGCTAACTGGCCAGGAGTCCTCCCTGCCCTTCTCTTCTCAGCCCATATTCCAGGTTCTCTCTGCAAAACTTGTTGATATCAGACAACTTCATCAGAATGTAAAACTGGTTTTTGTTTTTTTTTACCAATCCCCGCCCTAGTTTGGGGGGACTTTTCTACTTGATTCATTTCTGTACTCTGATTTTTTTTTAAGAGAACATTTTGTCTTTGTAATCAGCAAAAACAATAAAGACAGTGTAAGAATCCTGATAGCCTGAGTGAGCTTCTAAGGTAGTATTAACAATGTGTCCCCCAAAGCCATCATAGAAGAGGAATCCTACAACATTTAGTAACAGGCAGCTATGTTACCAAGAGTCTTGGGAGAAATTAGACACATCATTGATGATTCTAGGATGAAGTGGGAATAAGGGGTCACATGTGACCAATGTACCAGCCAGAGAATGTTGGTATCATTTGGGTTCTCACGAAAGGAAATACTCCTATCTTATAAAGCAGGAAGCTCCAGACATTACTGATTGTGTAGTGTGCCCTTATCAGGAAAAAAAATTGAGCATTTACCTGTAATGTATTTTTTTTTTAATATCTCATTTATATCCACCATTGTATGAGACAAATATAGTCAGAATTTCTAATAGGATCAAAAAATATGCCAGTAGAAGTTCTAATATTTTCTTCCTATCTGGTGATGAACTATTTATATTTAACTCAATGGCCTGTGCAGCTCACCCTGGAGGCCTCCTGGCCTAGGGCAGCAGTTCCGATCCCACAGTGCTACTTGAGATGTGTATCTGCGGGCCCCATCCCCAGATGGTTTGACAGGCCCTCAAGCCTGGGAATCTGTGTTTTTAACCAGCCGCTTCAGGGATCTTAGTGCCAGTATTCATTAGGGCATTCTTTAGGATACCTTCCTCTAGAGTTTCAGATGGAAGACAATATGTACCCAAAAAGCTGCGTGTGTATTTTAATTAGTTAGTAAATAAGTATAACTCACAGTTCTTCTGGGGAGAAATCTGCAACTCAAGAGCCTCACCTCATCTGGCCCTCACTTTTGGAGGTTAGGTTTAAGGGTGAGGAAACTCCAAAATGGCATGTTTTAAATTTTTAAAAGCTGGACCTTGACCGATCTGTTTTTAAGTTAGATATACTGACTCGTTCGTTTTGAGATCTCCAGAAGAGCCATGAATCCATCCCCCTCTCTTCATCTCCACTGACCTATGCATACTGGGCCATGTGACTGCCAGGAAGGAAACAGACCAGGCTACGGGGAGAATAATATTGGGCTGCTTAGATGCGGTGGACAGGGAAGGCCTTCTGGAGGTGACGTTTGAGCCAAGACCTGAAGGATAAAGTCCAGCCTTGGGAAGAGAGGGGCGAAGAGCATTCCAGGCCAAGAGTAGAATATATACCAAGGCCTCAAGGCAGCAGTGGGTCGAGTGCGGAAAGAAGGTGGCTGGGGGACAGTGCAGTTGTGGCCTGGAGGACGGTGAGACGTGGACTCTGAGGTGATGGTGGGTCAGGTTGAACAATGCTTTGGGCTGTGGCCCTGGTGTTTTTCTTTTTCTTTTCTTTTTTTTAACTCTTACAGCACCTGGTCTTCCAGGGTGGCCTCCCATCCAAATACTAACCAGGCCCGACCCTGCTTAGCTTCCGAGATCAGACGAGATTGGGCACATTCAGGGTGGCATGGCCATAGACACCCTGGCGTTTTCCATTGTAATAGAAAAGAAACTATATTTGTTTCCTAGGGCTCCTATAACTGCATACTATAAACTCGGTGGCTTTAAACAACAAATTCTTTTTCTCGCAGTTCTAGAGGCCAGAAGTTGGCAAGGCCAATTCCCCCTGGAAGCTCTGAGGGAGAACCTGTCGCATGCCTCTGTCCTAGCTCTGGTGGTTGCTGGCAACCCTGGGCACCCTTGACTGGTAGACCCATGGCTCCAGTCTGCCTCTGTCGTCACTTAGCATTCTCCCTGTGTGTGTCATCACATGGCCCTCTGTGAGGACACTAGTTGTTGGATTTAGGGCTCACACAAAGCCAGTATGACCTCATCTTAACTAATGACATCTGAGGTTCCAGGTGGACATACATTTGGGCAGGGGCCACTATTCAACCTGGTACAGAAGCCGTTAGAGGATTTGCATTTTAAGAAGATCGTTCTGGGATAGCAGAGGGGTCCACATGGATGGCTCTCCAGGTGAAGATGATGGGGGTGACCAGGAGGCGATGGAGCTGATGGCGAGGCGTCACTCCCTGGGAAGGACTGACAGGGCATGCTGATGGATCAGCTGTGGGGGCAGGTGAAGAAGAGCTGGGTCCTTAAGGATGACTCCAGGGCCTCAGCAGGTACACACACTGCACCCCACCCCTGCCAAAATTCTTGCACAGCTCTGCTTGGCCTGGCTCAGTCAGGCCTCAGCACCTGGCACTGGCCACAAGGCCTCATTCTGCCTCTCTCCTGCCTGGATTCCTTGTCCCCAGCCTATCCTTGTCCCTTCTCTGTGATCAGCGCCCACTTGGCCTGGCTGCCCCTTTCTCCAGGAGGCTTTCCTCATCACCAAGTCTGGGTCAGGGCTGCCTGATCCTGTCAGGTCTTGGGTCAGTGTTTATCTGCCCAGTTGGGCAGCAGGCCCTCAGGAGAAAAGGGCCCAGATGGCATTGCTCACCACTGAGCCCGGCACCCAACACGGCATGAGTTCACAGAGCCACATCCTGTGCTCAGGGACGTGTGGGAGGAGGTTGGTTGGAGGGAAGTCCTGAAGGAGTCCAGGGCTTGAGAGAAAGTCAGGCAGTGCCAGTATGCCAGAGCAAGGGCTCTCGGGCTGGGCCACGGTTGCTCCCTTGGGGGCCACTAGGATGGCCTGGTGCTCACAGTCTGGTCTAGGCACATACGCCAGTGTTGAGTGCCACTGAGAATCCAAGCAGAGCCCGTCCTGTGGAGGCCGAGACTGGAGTTCTGGGGTCTCCTTCAAAATGAGGCCCAAGAAGGGGAGGAGGCTGCCCGTACCTACAAAGAGGTCTGATCACCCCCAGACCAGGAAAAATGGTGGTCATGACAATGGGCCAGGGGCCCTGCAACGCACAGGTCACCTACTGGCAGCTTAAGCACAGGAAGCTTGAACTCACCCTTGAAGATGGAACCCAGCTGGAGACAGGATATTAGCTTTAGCTGGAAAGACCCTGGTGGGACTCAGAATTCCAATTCAGCAGCTCCTGGCCATCGGTCCCTGCTGCTGGGGGTTCTGACCTGAGCTGAAGATGACACCAGAACAAGGAAGTGTCTTGAGGGAGGGGGCCCGATCTTGGCCCAGAAACGCGGTGTACCCTAAGAGTAGCCTGTGAGGATGGGCACACTGGGGAAAAGTGCCACATGGACAGGGAGCAGTGTGGCCTGTCCTTCAGGTTCTTCCAGACCAGCTACACGGAGTATCCGTGCCCCACAAGTTCTGCAAACGTGAATCCCAGGCCCTAAGACGCTTTTCCTAGCTGGCCTCAGGAAGTCCGGCCCCTGCCCTTCTCCATGACGAGTTCTGTCTCTGGCTGAGCAGGCCCAGCCATGGGGACATGGGGGCCTTGGCCAGAGCAAGCATGGGCCTGACTCAGGTCCCAGTGCAGCAGGTGGACCCAGGTGGGTTGGAGACTGCCTGTCCTAAGCCGTTCCGCTGGAGCTCTCTCTGCACCATGCACCACGGTCTTTCGTGTCTCAGGATGGGAGGTGGTTTTGCCGTGATGCTTGTGGCTGAAGAGTTTCTTTGGTGGCAGATAGGCCTTGGATGGGAAGCAGAGGGATGGACTTGGTGATGTCACGAAGTCTTGATGAGCCTCAGGGCACTGTGTAGTGTATGTAGGGGAGAGCACCTGTGTTAGAAGGGCCTTGGACAGCAGCGTGGCTGACTGGGCCAGGAAGTTAAAGCTGAGAGGAGGAAGGTGGTATCAGCCAGAGCTAACCAGATGCTCTCTCTGCCCACGCTGGCTCAGCCAGGAGCCACAGGACTAAAGCTGTGCTTGGCCCCATGTTTTGGATCAGAGAATTATGGCTTAGGGCTGAGGACACATTCAGTGTCTGGGAATTGATTCTCAGATGCCCTGGGCAGGTTAGGCAGTGGTGGCCCCCAGAACTGGGAGGTCAGGGATGGTTACCCTTGAATAAGGTGGAAAATCTCTCTTGCGTTTCCTCAGGTTAGAAATCTGTGCTACATGGTGACAAGGCGCGAAAGAACGAAACACGCCATCTGCAAACTCCAGGAGCAGATATTCCACCTACAGATGAAACTTATTGAACAAGATCTGTGTCGAGGTAGGCCTTCCTTACCCACCTCTGCCACCTTCAGTGTGCACACGCTCAGAGGCCTGGGTCCCAAGGAGGGTGTGTCTCTGGGGCCTGGTGGGGCATTTGCATGGTGCCAGGGGCCACTGGCTCCATCCCTACCCTGCATCCTCCAGTTAGGAGGCCAAGATGCATGTTGTTAGGCTAGGAGCCAGAGATTGGAATGTGGGCGTCAGGCCTGCCCCCAGAGAGCTCTCTGGTTCATGGGGGACACCCAGGTAGTGCTAGAGCCATAGCAGTTCAGGAGTGACTTGCATGTGAACGGACGCACACCAGAAGCCCTGGTGTCTCTATGCCAGTGCTGGGGCAGGAGGGGCCAGAGCTGGTGAGCCTCCCTGACCCCTGTGCACCTGCGTGTGGGTCCTGAAGAAGGCAGCTGCGCTAGAGGCAGAAGAGGACCTGTGCGTTCTTTCTCTCTGACCTCATCTTACAGGATTCGGGCCTCTGCCAGCAGTTTTTTTGTCCTTATTCTCCTGCCATCACATGCATTTAACAGATTGGGAAATCAGAAGCCAACAAACCTCTGACGTTGCTTTTATCTGAGTGTTCACAGTTAAGGAGGGCAGTGCTTAACCCAAAAAGTGGTACTCTCATGTTGAATTACATGGAACAGAAATGACAGGATGGAGAGAGATTTTGAGCCAAGGGCTGCCATCGTCAGCTCAGCCTCTGGGTCAGGCTGGGCCTGGAGAGGACAGAAAGGAGAGCTGCCAGGCCACCACCAGAGCAGATGACTGAGGACCTGGTACTGCCCACCCCTGCCTGAGAGCCAAGCTGCCTTGTCTGCACTTACGGATCACCACCCACTCTGGCCCAAGAAAGCAGCACTGCCAAGCACAGGTGCTGGGTCAGGGCGGATCACGGCTACTCAGAGCTCACCATGCACCCCCAAGACTAGGCAGCTTCCTGGCTGCTGGAGCCTTCTGGGCTCCCTCTCATCTGTTAATTGATTCTGTGGGCGCCAACTGAGCATGAACAGAATGCCAGACCCTGTGCCGGGCACTACGGGGCACACCGCTGTAGACTGAGTGGACAGGGTTCTTGCCCCTGTGGAGCTCACCATCTGGAACGTGGTGCCCAAGGGACTGCAGTGGGTCCAGTGCAGGGACTGGGGTATCACGGATGGCTTCGCAGTGGTGGTGATTCTGGAGCAACATCGAGACACGCAAGTGGCAAGGCATGCAGTGCCCTCAGGCACAGGATTCTAGAAACATGATCAAGAGCCTGGTGGGTTTGCATTCTTGCATTCAGTCTGGGGACTAGACCTGGGTGGCAGCAACAGGCAGTTTTTTTATTCAGGGTAGGACACTTGGAGAAAAGACTGGTTTGCCTCTGCCTGAAGTTGACTCCCTCAGTGTTGTGTGCTTGACCCCTGGGGGAACATGGGCTAGAAATGTATTGCCATGGCTTGTCTGGCCAGAGTGCTGGAGAGGATTCCCAGTGGCAGTAATATTTAGGCTATGAAATTAACCAAATGAAGGACAGGACAAGGAAAGAGCATTTTTGGAGACCTAGAGGCCAGAGCTTGTCTCGTTGGAGAAACTGGAAGGAGACTGGCCAAGCTGCAGCCAGGGCAGGAGGAGGATGTCTAAAGTGAGGCCGAGGGGTTGCCAGGGTCAGCCATGCAGGGGCTCATGGCCTTCGGAAGGAGCTCAGACTATACTGAGGACAGAGGAGGGTTTCTGGGTGTTGACCCCGTGTTACAGAGGAGGAGACTGAGGCCCGGCCTGAGGCTGCATGGGGAATCAACAGCAGAGCTGAGAACGTTCCAGAGCCGGGGCCACACGCCTTGACCCTCTCTTTCAGGAAGAGACGAAGCCATCCAGCCTCTAGCTAAGAAGCTGGGAAAAGATTTCTGGCAGCCCACGTCCCATCCCACCCCTTGCACCCCCCACCCCGCTCCAGTGTTCTCTATGGCTCCCTAGACCTGCATAGTTGCAGACTGAAGGGATAGGAAAGCCAGGTCTGCACCCAGGTCTCCCATCTACTGTGTGACCTCAAGAGCAGTCTAGGAGGCCGAGGCAAGATACTTGCTCAGGGGTGCTGACCAGAGCGAGGACTGGAACTAAAGCCTCTTGACTCCCCAGAGAGTGCTCTGTCCACCTTCATGTCCACCTCCTTGGCCGGGCATTCACGGCCCTACCCTGTCCACTCACCTCTAGCCAGCCTTCCACCCTCTTCATGGCCCATGTCCTCCTCAAGCCCAGCAAGGGCATCAGTGGGCAGTTGCCCTCACCCTCCCACACCGGCTGTCCCTTAACTCACCGGAGTCCCAGCTCTCCTGGCTCTGAGCCTGGGGCACAGAGGCAGGGCAAGGTGATCTGGATGGTGAGGAAGGATTCCTGAGGTGACACAGTGATCTTGGTCCTGGCTGAGGCTGTTCGGGATAACCACCTCCCTCCTGTTCTCTTGTTCCCTGACACAGAGCGGTCTGGGAGGAGAGCCAAGGGCAAGAAGAGTGACTCGAAAAGGAAGGGCCGCGAGGGCCCGAAAGGCAGCCCTGAGAAGAAAGAGAAAATGAAGGCGGGGCCCGACTCAGTCCTAGGGCAGCTGGGTGAGTAAGTGGCCATGCAGACTGGGTGGGCCAGCATCATCGCTCCACTTGCAGCCCCTCCACGTAAAGCCAGAAGGGACCATGAGGGCCCCCACTGCGCAGTGGGAAGCCCAGGAGAGGTAGCCAGGCCCTTCCTTGCCCAGGTGTTCCCACCTTCCAGCCATAAAGGAGGCTAGGTTCTCAGACCCCATCTGTCATCCCGAGAAATTCCCCTTTTGTAGACCTAGAGTCTAGGCAGGGGCGCTCAGGAACTGCCTGCTCATTCCGCTGGCCAGGGTCCTGGATGCTAGATTTTCCTGGAGCCCCTCCAGGGACCTCCAGGCCATTGGGGCCCTTCTGGGAGCCCAGCTCCATAATGGAAGGTTTCTGCCAGAATCTCCATTCTTGTCCCACGCTGCTGGAATCCTCTCAAATGACTGTCCCTTCAGTACCAGTGAACCTTCCTGGAGCCATCCAAAGGAGCAGCCACAGAGGGACCCAAAGGAGTGGCCACAGACATTGGCCCAGCCCATCTTCACTATTGCAGACCTCCTTATTGCTGCCCCATCAAGCCGAGAAACTCTTGAGGGGATCCCAGTTGTGGGCTTTATCTCCCAGGATGTCACACGCTTCCCCTAGAACACTTCACAGGGGTCATGGTAGAGTGCCCCTCCCAACCTCACATCTAGCACAGAAGTCCCAAGTCACCTTTATTTCCCTCAGTCTCAGGAAGGGGACAACTTGAGTGTCTAATGGGAGGCCCAGTCTTACCAACTGTCCCCTCTCAAGACCTCAGTAAAGGAGGGAAGGCCCATAGCTAGGGCGGTCCTGACATCCAAGAGGGACCTTCTTTCTACCCAGATGTACCTTGTCACCCTGTTCATGCTGAGTTCCTTGCTTTGGAAGCTCTGGGAGGCAGTGCTCATAGAAACCCAGCGCCCCCTAGTGGTCAGAGGGTGTTTTCCTCCATTTCTCCAGCCCCTGCACCACCAGGATGGGGGTGGTGGGCAAGGCCAACCTCGTGGGTGTGCACCTGTGCAGTCTACAAGCCCTCGCTTGGTTTCATGCTGTACTGTTGCCACCTTGAAATTCTTAATAATTTTTGAAAAGGTTACCTGCAGGAAGGAAGGTACACACTGCTGTGCTGGGGAGGGTTAGAGGGGGCTTCCTGAAAGAGATTGGGACACACACCTGCTGGCAGCTCACCTGCCTCTTCTCTCCACTCCACCAGGCCTGTCCACCTCATTCCCCATTGACGGCACCTTCTTCAACAGCTGGCTGGCACAGTCAGTGCAGATCACAGCAGAGAACATGGCCATGAGCGAGTGGTCACTAAACAATGGGCACCCAGAGGACCCTGCTCCGGGGCTGCTGTCGGAGGAGCTGCTACAAGACGAGGAGACGCTGCTAAGCTTCATGCGGGACCCCTCACTGCGACCCGGTGACCCTGCCAGGAAGGCTCGTGGCCGCACCCGCCTGCCTGCCAAGAAGAAACCACCACAGGACGGGCCCGGGTCACGGACGACTCCAGACAAACCCCCTAAGAAGCCCTGGGGCCAGGATGCAGGCGGCGGCAAGGGGACTCAAGGGCCACCTGCCAGGAAACCACCACGGCGAACACCTTCTCACCTGCCGTCCAGTCCTACAGCTGGTGACTGTCCCATCCCAGCAGGCCCCAAGAGCCCCCCACCTCTGGCTCCCGACACCCCTGACGAGGCAGCCCCAATGGCTGCTGACTCGAATGTCCAAGTGCCTGGCCCTACGGCGAGCCCCAAGCCCTCAGGCCGGCTGCGGCCGCCCCGTGAAAGCAAGGGAACCCGGAGATCGTCGGGTGCCAGGCCTGATGTCGGGACAGGACCGCCTTCTGCTGTGGCCGAGAGGCCAAAGGTCAGCCTACACTTTGACACTGAGACTGATGGCTACTTCTCTGATGGGGAGATGAGCGACTCAGACATGGAAACCAAGGACAGCGGGGTACAGAGGGGCCCCCGGGAAGCAGGGGCTGAGAAGGTGGTCCGCATGGGGGTTTTAGCCTCCTAAGTCACCCCTACCCCTGTCCCAGGCCCTGTCCTGGTCCCCCCACGAGGCCTCAGCCCAGTCACAACTGCCATTTCCAATCTTTGCTGAGTGTCCCAGACCCTTAAGGCTGCCACTCTACCGTGGTTTTATTTTTAATATAGAGAGAGTTTCGAATTCCACACTGTTGTCTTTCCTCTGTGCTGGCCTAGGACAGTAGGATTCCTTCCCTGGCTCTGGCTGCAAGGACAGGCCAGGTCCTGTGCGGCACCCCTGCTGCTGCGGCATCCCTGCCCGGCTCACGCCGTGTTGCTGGGCTCTGGCGAGATGCAGGCCAGGTGAGGAAGAGCTCAGGAAGCCAGCCTGCTGTCAATGGGTGTCACAGACTGTCATTGGGCATTATTTCATGGCAGATGGGCCAGCCCAGGGTCTGCTCCACCTTGCCCCCAAACCCCACTGGAGTCCATTTGGGGGGGGTCCTGCTGCACTCCACTGATCCCCAAGGAAGTATAATAAGTGATACCCAGCCAGAGTCTACTCACTGTCACAAGCACAAAGAGCTTATACGAGAAAGCACTGAGGGGGCGCAGAGGGCCCTGCTGGTTCCAGGGGAACCGCAGCTGTTCCCGATCAACCCACATCTGAGGCCTGCCCGCCCACCCTGTGACCCTCCACCCCTTTGCTGCTCTGCCCCTGCCAGCGCCCAGCCCTGCAGCTCTGGGAAGGGGTTCCCAGCATCCTTCCTGAGCTGTGCCACTTAACTCAGGGGACTCCCAAGCAGCCAGCCGCCAGTGCTGGTGGAGGGCTGCCAGGGAGGGCCAGTGCCCAGACGGGGGCGTGGGGCTCGGACTCACTCGCTGCAGAGAATCACTCTGGGGCTCCAACTTCCTTCCTTCGGGGCCAGTCTCGACGGAAGTCTGGTCATTCACTCCCAGACAGCCGACTGGACCAGACCATTTGCCTTGTCAAGTTTCCCAGTCCTGCTAAGAGATGAGCTGCTTTTCGGTTTCCTGTTGGAAACGCCTCTTTCCAACCAGAAGTGGGATCCCGGGGCCCAGGCGGCCGTGCTGGCTGCTGTGGCTGTTTTCAAGTCTTGCTGGAGGCTCCTGGTTCCTCCCCCTCTGAGCCTTAACCCCCCCTTTCCCAGTGTGCCCTCCACCCCACCCC